TTTCTGATTCTCAGAGGCATTCTCATCACCCCCCCAAAACAAAACCCAGAGTTTCCTGAGCTGAGGCCCCTGCTGTTGGCCCCCAGCCCTGAGGACAAAGGGCTCTGCCTGCCTCCTCTGCCCGCAGTTCACCCTGGCCACAGAATGCTTCCAGCTGGGCTATTCAGCGGACGGCCACTGTAAAGGCCACCCTGAGCCGGCGCTGCCTCAGCCCCAGCGGCTGCACTGGGACCTTCCAGACCAGGTGAGGCTGGGGTTGGGGCCTCCCCTCTGGGCCCCGGTGCCTCACTGCTCCCAAGCTCCTCCGGTCCCCAGTTCAAGCTGAGTCAACCCCAACCCCCAGCCCAACCCCACATCGAGAGCCTCCAGCCCCATTCCCAGCTCAGACCCTAGCCCCACCTGTAACCCGGCGACCCTCCCTCCCTCTTGGGCAGATGCGTCAATCCATCTCTCTTGCCCTGCGCGGAGCCAAGACCTTGTCTGGCAACATTGACTGCCACGTCTTTCCCTTCTCCCACTTCGGCAAGAGCTTCATCAAACACTGCTGCCTCTCCTCAGACAGCTTCATCCAGATGGCCCTGCAGCTGGCCTGCTTCCGGGTCAGTCAGCCTCCCTCCTCCCGACCCCTAACCCCAGGGGCCCCAACACCCCTACCGCTTCCCTTGGTGCCTCCTCTCGGCCACCGCCATGTGGGTCCACCATCTTGATTTCTCCATTTGCTTCTGCACAGCAGGCGGCTGGAGGCTGGATAAGGTTGGTTGAGTTTGTGAAAATTTCCTTACCCTGGCTGACAGGCTCCTCCTCTCCTTGTCCCCCAGGACAGGGGTCAATTCTGCCTGACCTACGAGTCAGCCATGACTCGCTTGTTCCTGGAGGGCCGGACGGAGACAGTGCGGTCTTGCACAAGGGAGGCCTGCAACTTTGTGAGAGCCATGGCGGACAAGGAGAAGACAGTGGGTGTGGCCTCCAGCGAGGCTTGCGTCCCTTGGGGTCACCAATACATTTGCAAACACTATGGCCAGCTCTGAGGGGCACCAGGGACAAGGGACAGACAAGACCAGGTCTCCAGCTTCCAGGAGCCCATGGAGGGGAGACAGAGATAGCCCAGCATAGTGCTCTCTGTGCCTCCCTGGGGAAGTGCAGGACACTGGGGGGCACGCAGAGGGAGCCGTGTTTCCATAATGCAGTTCGCAGCTTATCTGACTCCTCAGTGACCTCCATTTGCCCCTTTGGCCTCGTTCCTAGAACCTCTGCTTAGGGGCCTGGACCCCATGCACCTGCTCCCCTTCCCAGCCCTATGAGATCTTGTGGAAGGATTTGGGGCTCCTGGACAGCCCTGGGACCCACCTGGTGCTGCCCTGGTGTGTGCCCCGGGGAAAGTGCCTCCGTTTTCTGGGCCTCTCCCCTGGGTGAGGTGGGGGGCAATCCCTGCCTTAGAGCCAGGTGTGCCGCGGGGTGGCCAGCAGTAAGCCCGAGTCCTGTCTTTGCATGACCTGTGACCGCTGGGGTCCAGGACCCGCAGTGCCTCGCCCTGTTCCGCGCTGCAGTGGACAAGCACCAGGCTCTGCTTAAGGCGGCCCTGAGTGGCCAGGGGGTCGACCGCCACCTCTTCGCGCTCTACATCGTGTCGCAGTTCCTGGACATGCAGTCGCCCTTCCTGGCCCAGGTTGGGGTGAAGGGGGAGGGTTCTAGAAGGAACTGTGGGATAGGTGGAGCAGGGAGGGACTTGAAGGCAGTGGAGATGAAGTTGGAAAAGGAGTGGGTCTGGGACAAAGCTGGTGTGAGAGAGGGCGGGAGAGAGCAGGGCAATGGGTGGAGGGGCGTGGTCAGGAGCGGAGGGGCGTGGTCAGGAGCAGAGGGGCGGTGCCATGGGCAGAGGGCGTGGTTACAGGTGAGGGGTGGAGCTTGTGGGAAGGGCTCAGTTAGGCTTCGAGGGGCGGGGCAGGGAGGTGGGGTAGCAATATATTAGAAACTGGCAGTCGTAGGTCAAATATTCCAGGGATGCCTAGAGTGGAACCAAAGGAGAGACTCTGGGACCTGCGGGTCTGTCTTTCCTGTCCTCAGGTTTACTCCGAGCAGTGGCAACTGTCCACCAGCCAGATCCCTGTTCAGCAGATGCACCTGTTTGATGTCCACAATTACCCAGATTATGTTTCCTCGGGTGGTGGATTTGGGCCTGTGAGTGTAGTGGGGTCCCAGTCCTGGGGCTCTGAGGGAACGGGCTGGGAGCCTGTGCTTCTGTATGGTGGCGGAGGAAGGGGGCGCGATTTTGTTTCCTTCCCTCTGGCCCGCTCCAGGCGGACGACCATGGCTACGGTGTGTCTTACATCTTCATGGGGGATGACGCGATCACCTTCCACATCTCCAGCAAAAAGTCAAGCACAAAAACGGTGAGCCATGCTGCACCCAGGCCTCCCTTAGACCTGGGGATCCAGGCCCAGCCTCCGCCCTCAGACGCGGTTCCATCCCCCAGCCCCTCTTTGCTTGGCCCCGGGGGTCTCCCACTTGCCCTGGATCTGACCTTTCCTGCTTCCAGGACTCCCACCGGCTGGGCCAGCACATCGAGGAGGCGCTGTTGGATGTGGCCTCGCTGTTCCAGGCCGGGCAGCATCTGCAGCGCCGGTTCAGAGGCTCAGGGGACGAAGACTCAGGGCACAGGCATGGGTTTCGCTCCAGTAAGACTGTGCAGTCTAAGACACCCAGTGCCTCTGAGCCCATCCCGTAGGGAGCTGGTCTCTCGCAGGGCAGAGGGCTCAGGGTGGAGCAGCCTGTTTGCAGCCCCCTGTCTGGGCCAATAAAGATGTTCAAACTGGGTGTGTGGCGTCCACTGCTCTGGGTTGGAGGAGTGGTGGAGTGAGAATTGGGGTGCTCAAGGGAAGAGTCTCATTGATCCCCAGTTCAAATCAGCCTCAGCCATAGTCTGTGAAACCCAGTCCCAAATAGCCTTACAATTTCTTTTTTTTTAACCCCACAATTCCTGCTGGCCCAGAACCAATTGTCAACTCAGACCCTATACAAAACTAAAGTCTGATCAATCTAACCATCCCAACTGGTGCCCCCAAAGCAATTCGTCAAGATTTTTTTTACGGTGTGCATAGAATGCATGCCTTGTGTGCGCTAGGCAGCCCCAACACCACCCGTGACTCTAATGTTAGCAACCCCATTGTGTCCCCCAAGGCAAGCATGACAACCTACCCTAAAGCCAACATCTAAATCCTATGTAAAGTAACCTCCACAAGCAACCCACCAACTCTATAGTGCTTTCAAAGCTTGTCTGTAACTTGGGCATGGTGACACATGTTTGTAATTCCAGCACTTAGGAGGCTGAGGCAGAAGATCACAGGGAGTGTGAGGCCAGCCTGAACTACATGGTGAGACCCTGCCTCAAGGATCAATTCCATTCTCACGGGGTGATTAAAGCTCCTTGTGGGCTTGCAGCTCTCTAGGGAAAGAATTGTGTGCAAAAAGTAGGGTGAGCTTGGGTCATGGTGGCGCACACCTGTAATCCCAGGTCTCGGGAGGCTGAGACAGGAGGACTCATTTGTGAGTTTGGGACCATCCTGGGCTGCAAAATGAGCTCAAGGCCAGCTTGAACTGCATAGCAAGACCCTGTCTCAAAAAAAGTAGGGTGAGGAAGGCACCTTCAGCCAACATGACAGCCTGGAAAATTCCAGAGCACTGGGTCATGTAGCCCTAAACTAATGGCTTCCTGCTTCATTAGAGCAGCACCACCTAGAAAGTCACCACAAATTTAGGGTTTAAAATGCACAGATGGGGCTGGCAAGATAGCTCAGCAGACTAAGCACCCACAGGGACTGGGGTTCAATCCCCAGTACCACATGCCAAGCTGGCCCCGCCCCCAGGTGCACTGAGCCAGCCACTGAGTCCCAACGCTGGGGAGTCTGAAAACGAGGATCACTATGAGTCCAAGCTACAAAATACATAAAACAACAACTACAACGAAAACCCCCAGATGGCTGGGATATGGTGGTGCATGCATATAACTCCAGTACTCTTGCAATTCCAGCACTTGGGAGGCAGAGGCAGGAGGATCTCCTCTCTTCTGTTTTGCTCCTCTGCACTTTTGTGGATTTAGGAGATGAGACTGGCTTCATGTGGATAATCCAGAATCATCTCCCCATCTCAAGGTCATAATCTTAATCACACCTGCTAAATCCCCTTAACTACCACATGATCTAACATAGTCATGGGGATTAGGGTGCAGGCGTCTTTGGGGGCACTTAGAAGTCAAATTGTGTTTCCCAGAAAAAGATGTAGAAATCCTCACCACCAGTACATTAGAGGGTAACCTTATTTGGAATTAGGGTCTAATTAGGGTGATTAGAATGTGTTCATACAGGACTAGCCTGGCCCTTGAATCCAAGGTGACTGCTGTTTTGTATTTTGTGGTTTTTTTGTTTTTCTTTTTTCTTTTTTTTTTATAAGCCCACTGGCCTAGAACTCTCAATCTTTTTTATTTTGAGACAGGGTCTCACTAAACTGCCCAGGTTGGGCTCAAACTGTCAATCTTCCCTACCTCAGGTTCCTGAGCGGCTGGTATTACATTGGGGGTGGCCATGTGACAGCCAGGGCAGAGACTGCAGGGACCTATTTGCTAGCTGCTGAAGGCCAAGGCTGGCCAGCAGCGCACAGAGTGGAAGGACAAGAAGTCCCCCCAGAACCCCTAGAGACCACAGTGCTCCTCACCTCCTCAGGACCGGCTTACTGTGCTGGGATTACGGAGTGAATTAAATTAGCAGCTGGGTGAAGGGTGGGCGGGGCCTCTGCCTCACTTTGTTGTTGTTTTGGGTGCTGGGCAGCAGGTGCAATAGCCAGAGCTCACTCGGCCACGTTAGACGTTTTATCTGTCTTTTTGAGACAGGGTCTCCCTATGCAGCTCAGGCTGGCCTTGAGCTCACTTTGTAGCCCAGGCTGGTCTTGTAATCCTCATGCCTCAGCCTCCTGAGTGCTGGGATTACAGGAGGACCACCATGTGCACCAGCATGCCTGGCTAGGATTTTTTTTTTTTTAAACAGTACTATGGTTTGAACCTACGGCCTATTCACTGAGCTACAGCCTAAGCGCTTTTAATTTTTTTTTTTTTTTCGGAACCGGGGATTGAACTCAGGTCCTTGAGCTTGCCAGGCAAGTGCTTATTCCACTGAGCTGTCTCCCCAGCCCCTCTTTTAAGTTTTAAACTTTATTTATTTAGGCAGGGTCTTATTATACAGTCCAGGTTGACTTTGAGCTCACTTCGGTAGCCCAAGCTGGCCTGAAACTAACAGCTATCCTCCTACCTCAGCCTCCCAAGTCTGGGGTTCTAGGACTGGGCTACCACAACTGGATTTTTTTTTTTTAAATCTTAATTTTGCACCTTTAATTCTTCCCCTTCAGAAGGGTCATCCCAACAAATGGCTTCAGCCAAGAGGTGGCAGATGGGACTGGGCTTGGCAGGGACCCCCAAGAGCCAATCCCCCATTTCTCCCACAAGGTTGGGAGGAGGACTGTGATCCAAGCTCCGAGTTCCTGGGGTGAAGGGAAGTGGGCCCCTCTTCCACAGCCACATCTATGGAGACCATCTACATCCACAGCTCGGGTAGAGGGACCCAGGAGAGTGGCCCTAAGTCTTTCCACATGCTCAGGGGGACGGAGTGGAACAGGAATGACTAGGTCAGTGCCCCCGCATGTGGCCCTGGCCTGTGCCCCAGTTGGCCTACATAAAGTCCAGACTGACTGCTGAGGAAGACCCCAGAATGCCAAACACTGGGCCTGGATCTTCGGCCAGAAACAGCGGGCTCCACTTCAGAGGCGACAAAACCGAACCAGAAGATACAGAAAATTGAAGATGAGGCTGGGGAAGAGGTGGACCCAACAACCCCAAAGATATCCCAGCCTAGCTGCACAGATGACAAGGACAGGGACCAGAAGCAGCAGGAGCAGGGCTATAACGACACGCTGTGGCCAGCTGATGGCCTCGCTCAATCAGGAGGCCCAACTCCTGCAGGGCAGGGATAGGGAACAGCACGACAGCAGGCATGCGCTGGCGCGCGGGTCGGCCCAGCTGCGTGCGCGCAGCGACTCCTTCACGCCGCTGCAGAAGGCGGGCCATCTGGACGTCGCCGTGAGCTCGTACGTGCAGAACGTGGCTCAGTGGACGCCCGTGCGGTGGGCTGCCTCCCGCGCTCCGGAGGACGGCTCAGTCCCAGGTAGAGGGGCAGCATCTCAGGATTCTGGCAGACAGAGGCGAAGGCCAGAATGGGCACCCGGGTGGGCCATTTTTGAGTCACCTGTGAACCTCCGGGCCTCACGGGTGACGGTGCACCCCAAGCCGGGGATGCCAGAGCACACAGTCGCCACAGGTGTCTCGTTGTGGTTTAGACCACAGCAAATCTGAACCTTCTTATACATGAACAAGATGAGGAAAGAGAGCATGTAGGTCAGGGAGGGGCTGCCCGTACCCCACATAGCCCACGTGTTCCATGAGAGCCAGGCGCAGGGTGATTACCACACAGACAGGTATGATCCAGGTTTCCTTTTGAGAGGTCCCCCCCCCTCCCCGGGGGTGTTTGTTCAAGAAATTGCCGATAACCAGCAGAAGTTCAGATTTGATAACGAACAGGTAACTGGACACAGCCTCAAGGCTGTGCAGAGAGCTGAGCCCGGCACCAGTGCCTTCCTCACAGGCTTGATTGTCTCCTGTCCCAGCCATTCGCCAGCTCGGACGCCTACAGCAGTCGCTCAGGCCAGCTGTAGTTGGGTCGGACAGGAAGACAGCAGGAGGAGGCCAGGCAGCAGGGCCAGGAAGAAGGGGGCTCCCACGTGGGCCCCGGCACAGGCCAGCCTCAGGGTGCCACTGCCCGTGATGGCATTGCTGAGGCTGAGCACCGACATTCCCAGGGCTGTCTCCCCTTGGAATCCATGAGCTTCCTCCGGGAGCTGGACCGTGCATGGCTTGGCCGGAAGGCCTCTAGTTTCCGCCTGCAGCCCCCAGAGTCCCCAGAGAGGGCTCGGTTCATTTTTGGATCTTGCATTTCCATCCTCCTTGCTACTCCCAGCTTCAGAAATGGTAGCGACCCACCTTGGGATCAGGGACCCTAGTGCCTGTTCAGATTCTGATGTATCAGGGTTCAGACCCTCCTCTTTTATTTTTATTTTTATTTTTATTTTTCAGTACTGGGCATTGAACTGAGGCCCTTGCACTTGCCAGGAAAGCGCTTATTCTACCGAGCCAGCTCCCTGGCCCCTTCTCTTACTTTTCTGACAGAGGTTTTCACTGAGTTGCCCAGAGTGAGCTTGAACTTGAGATCCTCCTGCCTCAGCCTCACAGACTTTTTTTTTTCAGAGAAGTTTTCATTCAGCTCACAGAAATATTGAGCAGAAAGTATAGGGAACCCATCCCCATCCTCCCCCCCCAACACTCAGCAAAGCATGACAGATTTGTGGCAGTGGATGAAGCCACAGGGACACAGCGTCACCACCCAAGGCCCAAGTGCTTCTTTAGTTACTTTTTTCTTTTAAGAGTAGGACAATTTATTGTGGAAAAGGTATGGGGAATCGGAATAGCTCCCGAGAGACAGGAAGGGTCCTGAACGGTCGCCAGCCTAGCTACACTCTGTAAGTCTAAAATTATCTCGAAATGAAAAACAACCTTTAAAGTTGTTTTTGCAATGTGCTCAGCATTTCTTGAGACTGGCAGATTAGAGAATCACAAGACTAGAACAGAAATAAAATGTAAAACCACATACTCCTGTATTCATTCATACGCGTTCCTTAACATCAAAGGCTTTTGTTGGGACTTGTTCTGGAGGTGGAG